CCTCTTGGTTGGTTCTGGATCGGCTGACGCTGACCCTGCTGGTTCTGATAGCGGTCTGGGCAATCACGAATTCCGTGACCAGGTTTACGGCAGTGATAGCACACATTCTGTCCAGCTAGGCACTCCCCACGATGATTTTTACCGCAAGTAGCGCATGGTGGTACAACCTGTCGAATCGGTTGCACAGCCTGAACTGGGGCTGGTGCTGGTACTTTCTGTCTATTATTCCTACCATTACGACCCTTCCATTTTCTCTTGTTAGGTCGTTGTGCCTGCTAAGGTTGTGCCTGCTGTGGTTGCGCTAGTTGTAGTGGGGCTGGCAGAGCTGGTAATGTAAATGGCTGTACTGGCTGCATGACTGGGACATAAACTTGACTGGCCTCTACCATCAAGCTCTTGGCCATCTGCTGGGATCGAGAAACTGTCTCAGCATATGACATGGCCCCTATAGCACTGAGGGTATGACGGATCTCTCCACGTAGACCTCCCCGAAAGCGCCTCGTCCTCTTCTCCTCTGTGTCAATTAGATATGGCACAAAGAAACTGAGGCGAGTGAACTCTCGTTTGTATTCATCAATGGTCCGGCCTTCCTGCTTCAAACTCAAGAACATTCTCTCCATTCTCTCACAGTAGTGAGCCGGGTAGTACTTCTCCCTGACTATTTTCTTCAACTGCTCCCATGTGAGATTATTCTTCTCCCCAGGCCTCATAGCCCAATAAGCGGTCCACCAAAGCCCAACATCCCCTGTCAACTGCAACTGAGCGCACATGATCTTAACTGGCTCTGGCCAACCCATGACCTCAAAAATAAGATCAAGGTTGCGCAACCATTATTCAACTTGTTTAGGATCTCCTTGTCCATTAAATGTCGCTGGGTGATACCCACGGAACTGTGCGACTCGCTGCCCCTGATCTGGCTCGGGAATTACTGGAGGGGCTACGACTGGCTGGACTGGAGCATTTCTGCGATGAGCCATCTGAATGGCCCGTTAATAGGGTTAGTACGTGAAGGAGTTTGGAAGAAAGATTGCAATATTAACCTCTCGATGTTTGTAATATTTTTTGACGAGTCGTTGGTATACCACTTAACTTGTCTAGAGTTCTAATTCAAATAGGAGTTCTGAATTTGAGTAGATTTTTTTTTTCTAGAGTTCTAGTCTAGAGTTCTCTTTCTCATAGGAGGATAGTTTTCTAGGCCCCTAAAATTCTCATACTGAGTAGATAAAGCACTTGCAAAAATAAAAACTTGTTTAGATCACTTACCTCGGAGTTAGCGCGGGCGTGAGCGTGGTGTGGTTACTTCACTAACTTTTTGGTTTACAGAACCTCTAACTAGGCTCTGATACCAAACTGTAACAAACCACTTAAAAAAAACCTGGTTAAAATTTTCGCCATTGTTTTCGAAATATATTGATTTTGAAAATACTAAAATTTAACTTTTTGGGATATTACTTACTAACTTATTTTTTTTTTCTTCTTTCGTATCCAAATCAACATATATAATCTAGCTGGATAATAAGGATAAGGAATAATTATACATAGAATAATTATACATACATACTTAATGGTTCTGGTTTATCAGTACGGAAGCGTAATTAAAATATAGTCATATATAGTTTAATACAAACCAACCTAAACACAAACATAATAAATATCCAGCTTTATTCAAACATCACCACACCACTGCTCGGCTCACGCTTCACGCTGAACTCCATCACCTAAAAAAATAATAGTGGGGAAATGAGCACATGAAATCATATATCATGAAACCTGCATATGCATAAATAACTCAACCGTTCGGGTAAATAATTTTCTAACATACCTCATACACAATAATAGAATATGCTCAGTGTAACACCCTGTATGGGTCCCCACCTGATATGTTGAAAGGACTTTGCAAGTGTTGAATAATTGATGTAGCTGTTGGAGGCTCGACTCTCCACAACTACCAACATATACAAGCAAATATATCTAAGTATCTTTTCTCAAAAATTTCATATAGCTCTAAAAATTATGAAACTTGGCAGTTACATAGTAGATATATTCATATACTTTTTGATCAAATATTGGCTCAAAAGCACTTCAATAGCTCAATCCATTCAAATATTAAAATTAACATATAATTATGCCAATTTTACAACTAACTTCAATGAATTTTATAAATTCACATACTTATCATATCAAGCTGAAACTTGGCCATTTTGACCAAAAGTTATACAAAAATTATTCATAAAAGTTTTATCTTAAAAGCTTGCTTGTATACAGAGTACTATCACATTTAAATTCAGCTTGACATGCATGCGGTGTAACTTTTTTAACTTACTCATTTCTCAACATAAAATTCTGAAATTTGGCATGCACACTCTCAAGATATATGTAGACATGTCATTAAAATTTCACATTTTTATCATGCATATATGGACTTAGTCGAGTTCAAATTACGCAGTTGAAATTTTACATAAAAATTCGATTTACTTCAAAAACATGAAACTCAAGTGATACTTAACCAAATAACATGATTCTTGTTCCTATATACTCCTCATTTACATAAGAAATATCCATTTAAATTATACTTTCCCAGATTATGCATATCATACTCAAAAATACATTAAAACAGAGCACATATCCCATTTATACTAGCTAGGAACTAGTTTAACTTTTTGCATGCTTATAAGTGATTATAAACTGAACTTATAAGACTTTAATATACATCAATAAACACCTAATCTCATCACCAAAGCATATAAATATTATTAGTAGTTTACCTTCTACAATACCCTTGAAAAATCAAAAGTTGATCTCAACCTATCTTCGGCAAGATTTCTCTCGTTTTCACTCGTTTTTCTCACTATCTAGCTAAGACTTTGCTTAATTTGGTGTGAATTTCGAGCCTATGTTAATGCCCCTTTATATAGGATAGGAAATGAGACAACATCACCTTCTTTACCTCAACACTCCATCATAATAAACTCATTAGGGACCTTGCCATTAAAATTTTTTCTAAAATCTTTCACAAAGATGATTAAGCATTGATAAGTACTTGTAATGCATGTTTTCTCTTGTATATATCAAGACAAAACTCCTCCCTTTGACCACATCTGAATATGGCTCGAAATATATCTAAAATGGCTCATTTATTACTTAAGAATACTTAAAAATTTTTTGATAATAATAAATAAAGATAAAGAATGGAAATCATAACTCGTAAACTTCTCCAAACTATAGTAAATGCTTAGAAAGGGCCATCATGTGATCCTAATCTGATTTCTATGATAAAATTCGCGACTTAATGAAAAATATAGAATTTACGGAACCGAATTCTGATTTAAAACGATCGTTTACCGAAAAATCGAAAAATTTCAATTTCTCTCTTTTGCTTTTTGTGTTTATCCATTTTATGCTGAAAAAGTTTTATTCTTATGATGTGTCAACATATCACATGATATATATCAAGAAATTTTTCATGAGAATAATATGATTTAAATTAACACTTTATTTTATATATATACATATATATATTTTCAACCAAAAACAATATCACTCACAACTTTTTAAAATTTAATCTAAAATTGTTCTAATTTCCTCTTTGAAAACCTATGCTAAAGTTCATCTTGATGTCTACTAAAATATATATATTGAGAAATATAATGTTTATGGAGCTGAAATCAGACATAAATTCTGACTACAATCTAAAATCGAAAAAAACTCGAATATTTCAAATATAAATTCAAATATAATCTTATTAAACCTTCTTGTCTAAATAAATTATCTCTAATCATTTAATCCTTATCAATTAAATCATATAAGTCACAGAAAAATACTTAAGAAATTAATAGCATTTAATCTATTAACTCAATTTAATGGAAAACGCTTCCGATTTCACTTTAAAGTCGAGCAAAGTGAATCGGTTCTATTTATTAACTGAGCGGAGCGTTACATCTACAATTTCATAAAACTCAAAAATGTGTTCCTCGGCATTAATTTTTCAGATTATTTGTGTCCCAATGTTGCAGGGATAAACCGTTGAACCACATATAAGAACAATACAGCGTAATGACAGAAAAGCTTCAGTACCCATTCATCAATATTAACAACATACCAATGAGTGGACAATATAAACGAAGTTGAAAATGTCAAAAAAAGCATGTCCGTCTGCGGGGACACAGATTTCATCAACAATGCCCAATTCAAGTTGAACAAAAACAACTATATAAAACCCTGCGAATGCTCGAACAGAGTAAAATGGAAAGTAGTGTGGGACAAATACCCAATTAGAAAACCTAGCCTTGAATCGAAAATTCCTTTGAAAATTAACTTTACCTTTTTCTTCTTCTTCTTTTTTTTTCTCCGGCGAATTCACAGAAACGCTCCCCCTGCTTTTCGTATGCTCTCGAATTGCGGCTTTAGGTACTTCTGCCGATCGATGCGGAGGTGTAATTGGTCGTTTCTGTGGTGCTTGCCTCTGGTCGCCGGCCCTCTGTCCAACACTTCTGCCGTGAATATGAGAATCAAAGAAGGAGGTCGCGTTGCGAAGAGCTTCTTCCTTGGGCATCACAGCTTGAAATCCATTATTTGTTAGTGAAGAAGAATGATTTTGTGGGAGAGAGGACATCGTTCTGTGTGGGCTATAAAATGAAGAAGAAGACAATATGTTTGCGTTCAATCGAGGAAATATTTGATAAGACAATGCATCTGTTTTTTTATTTGGAGTAAAAATAGCTTTTACAGTTGTAGAAAGTGGGTGGCCAACAAAATTAATTGCACTCTCCAGGTGGGACCCGATAAGTTAAAATGATCTTATATTCAAGCAAAATTTCTACAGTGAAATCTGATTTTTTCCGAACAAAATTTGTATCCAATCAACTCCTATATACATATAAATAACTCACAATATTTTATTTATATTTGTGCATTTACACATGTCCAATACTAGTGACCATTTAATTTAATAGTAGAAAGTAGATGTATGGTGAATTAGCTGTAGTTTCGTTGCTATGAGTAAAAAAGTTGAGGAAAGAAGATTGATTTGGTATGATTGGTTTGGACCGTTTGGTTGCCTGCCTCTGTGTTTAGTTTTTACTGCAAGTTTTCATATGCCAACTAAGAGCAGATCGGATCTAGGCAGGCAAAACCCCGTCTCTCTCTCTCTCTCTCTAAATATACTCAGAATCGGGTTTACGCACAAATTAACTGTCACATAAATGCAGTTGTGAAGAAATTCCCAAGCGATTTTGATGGGCAAATACTCTGTCATCATATACATTACACTCGCCATCGTCCTCCTCCTCCTCGTCTCCCGCTCCTCCAACAACCACCGCCACCGCCACCGCCGCCTTAAAATCCGCTCCAACTTCTCATTTACCCCGCCGGTCGACCCTCACCGCATCCACGACCGCGCCGCCGCCTTCGACCCACTCGTCGCCGAGATCGAGCGCAAGCGCGAGGACCGGGAATGGGAGCAACGCTACTTCCAGTCCCGCCACCCCGAGTCGACTCAATTGGATTCGGCTCCCGGGCACGAGTCTCCACCCGAGTGGGAGGATTTTATGGACGCCGAGGACTACCTGAACGACGAGGAAAAGTTCAACGTCACTAACAGGCTGGGGCTTTTGTTCCCCAAGATTGATGTTGACCCGGCAGATGGGTATCTGACCCAGTCCGAGTTGATTCAGTGGAGCCTGCAGCAGAGTAAAAGGGAGGTGATGCATAGGACACAGAGGGAGATGGAGGTTCATGATAAGAACAAGGACGGGTTTATCTCTTTTGCGGAGTATGACCCTCCAAGCTGGGCTAAGAATTCTGGTGAATATTCAGCGATCAACTCTTTTTTTTTTTTTTCTTTAAATCGGAGTATATTTTTGTGAATTTGGAATCAACGTCTTTGGGGTTTTTTTTTATGGTTCACAATGACAAGGTGATGAAGTATTGTTTGTTATTTTGAATCCTATAGTTCTTTTAGCCCTACTTTAGTCTTGTTTTCTGGGATATTGGTGCTGTTGTTTCAAGATCATGGGCTTAAAATTTGGGCCGAAGTTCTCCTGGAAATTCCTTCAAATAAACACAATCTAAGTTTTTTTTTTGTTTTTTTTGTTTCTGTTCCCATTGTTCCCTTATCAAGCAGAAAATTGATGTTTTTTAAAAACCTTAGTTGCCAATGCTCGAGTTGGGTCGTTTGGATGATCTGTTAGAGGGCTTTCCTTGCATGTTTGAGTATTTGAAGTTTGATAACTAGTAGAAAGCTATCAATAAGCAGGTTTTGATGAAATATTGTATCTTGTAAGGAAGTGTTCCTTTCAGAATCACCATTGTTGCCTCGTAATGCAATACACGATTCTTAATGTTTTTTTCTCCAGATAATGATTCATTTGGATATGATATGGGCTGGTGGAAAGAAGAGCATTTTAATGCATCCGATGCAGATGGAGATGGTTTTTTGAATATAACAGAGTTCAATGAGTAAGACCCTGAGACCAAGCACGCTTCTGTGCATATAGTGTTTTCTTATCATTTACTAATCTGGTATTTTTTATTTTTTCTTATTATAGTTTTCTGCATCCAGCTGATACCAACAGCCCCAAGTTGCTTCACTGGTTGTGCAAGGAAGAGATAAGGTGTTGTAACTTTATCATATTTTTATTTGCTGAATGTAAATTAAGGACTTTGCAACTACAATAGCTTCGTGGGAGCATAATCCATTGAAGAACATCAACAAATACTTTGCAAGATTCTGGTTATTTCATCAGCTCTGTCTAACAGTTAGCTTCCAATTGCTTGCTAATTACCATGGACCTCGAGTAATCCTTATTCAACCAAGATTCTGATTAAGACGTGTGATTCAAAGAATCTGAACAACTTTGTTTTAATTCTATGGTTAACTGCGTCATTTTGAAGACCAGTTGTTGTTACAGCTTTCACAGTGTTGTGGTTATCACTGAACTATATGATGAAAACTCTCTACTGCACCCTCCATCCGCTTTTTACTCCAAATAAAAATAAAATAAAATAAATATTACATACTCCTTATGGCTGCACCAATTGCTTCAGCTTTTTGTACTGAGTTTTGTTATTTTGTTCTCTTATACCCAAGGATATTATATTTTATAGTATATTGTTGATGATAAAAATTCTGGAGCTACATTATGTGACCATCCATGTTAATTTATATTACTGTCATGAGATTTTTAGATCTTTTTGCATTAAGATCATTTTTGTAATAATCTTTAAATATCCATTTTGAGACTACTATATCATAAACTTGAATCATATAGGAGAACTTGTGGGACCAATATCCGGAATGTGCATGACTAAAAGGACCAAAATTGCTAACATGCATACTGACATGATGGAAAATGATAGCTCCATAAAGTCCTAGTGCCGATTTCGTAGTTTACATTTCCTAGTGCCCATTGTGTATAGTGTATAATTTGTATCTTTCAAGCATGGCTCAAGTTGCTGGATGAGATAAAATGAGATTGGTGTCTTCTCCGCCTTCAATCCAGAAATTCATGCTTTGTATTAGTGCGCGGCTTCATATGTATTTGTTGTTGAAAGTGAGCATAACAGAAATTTGCTTCTAGAGTTGAGGTTAAATAATACTGTGTAGTATATCTATAGACATCAGTATCATCATTTCAAGAGCTTTTGATTCTTTCCATTTAGTTTTAACGGTGTATTTCGGATTTTCTTTTTCCATGGTCAAAACTGTCGATGCTTCTAATATTATAGTGAAGCAATGGCTGCTATATTGCTTTTTAGATTTTGTAAACATCACTTTAAGTGTAATCTCTCTTTTTTATCATATCCAATTCAACCAATGTATTTTTGTGCTCTGCAGAGAGAGAGATAGTAACAAAGATGGCAAGGTTGACTTCCATGAGTTTTTCCATGGACTCTTTGACTTGGTCAGAAATTATGATGAAGCGGATCACAATTCTTCACATGGGTTTGATGAGTCAGTCGAGGCCCCTGCTAAAGTGTTGTTCAAACAGCTGGATAAGGATGGGGATGGGTAATTAATGAAAATTTTTAGTTGATTTGGGATATCTTATGCGTAGAACATAAAACTTATACAATCGATGTTGCAGATTTTTATCGGATGTGGAATTGTTACCCATTATCGAGAAAATCCATCCATCTGAGCAGTATTATGCTAAACAGCAGATGGAGTACATTATGGATCAGGTATTTATTTGCCCTAATAATGAAAGATTGTCTGTCTGGTAAAAATTATTTAGTGCAATGATAAGGGATTCATTTTTTAATTTGACTGTGTACACATTTTGATGATATTATATTTATAAAGGGTGTCGGAGAAAACCAACTAAATATCCTGAAGTTAAGATGTTATATGAAAGCCATAATGGTGGGGCAGGACTTGGGAACTTAATTGAAGATATTAATTTTTTTTTTTTTTAGACTTCAAAGATAGTTCAGAGCATGTAGTTTGCCTGAATAGATGTTTCACTTTCCTACACTTTTCTGAAGTGAAGGCTAATGAGCTGAAGTTCATAGCGGCTTCTTACGTCTTTTAATTATGGTGTTTTTAGTTAACCCTTTGGTCAAGAAACAAAATGGTGGAAGGCTAGAAATGGAAGTATTCAAATCCAAATAGACAAAGATTTTTTTTTTTTTTTGTTGGTATGGTTTCCCCGTGTTAGGTCCGGGTTTACCAGCTCAAATATTTTGTCATTTAAATGCGTCTTTCCTGTAGGTGTTTTGCTTCTATCTGACATCTATGTTGGAGTTAACGTTCTGATAGCATTACCAATGTTTTTATTTTAGACATTAGACATCATAGAGACTGTTTTGCAACTCTAGAAAATAAGTGATTCTGAGCTAAGCTTCAAGCTGCACAAATAGATGACAATTAAAGAGGCTCTTCTGAAGGTGATAACTATGACTTGTAGATACGAACTTCTGGAAGTATGGGTTACTTATTCAGTTGTTTTCATTTTGATAAAAATGGAATTATTTCATAATCAATGTCAATTTGGGGTCTGAATGGTCTCAGTGAAAGCCCTGGATTATTTGATCCAAACTCTTGAAAACCTTACAATTCAATATCGTGAACATCAATTAAATTACTAGATATAATTTGTACACAATTCACTCATCTCACTTTTACGTGTACCTGATCAATACAAATTTTTTAAGAAACTTAGTTATTACTACACTTTTTTTATAAAATTTATTATGCATCCACTCACATATTTCAAGCTACCATTTATTATGTGTATATCATATCTACTTTTTACATATTTATATTACATCAATCACAATGTCCAAAATTTCCCGAAAGTATTTTCCAAATACTCTCTCTAGCAAAAGAAACTTTTTTCAATGGAAGATTTTAAATTGCACCCTAACTACACCATGGTTAACTGTCTCGATTGACATTTTTTTTTTTTTTTTTTTTTTTTTTTTTTTGTAGGCTGATGTCAATAAGGATGGGCGCCTGACCTTGACGGAGATGATCGACAACCCATATGTTTTCTATAGTGCCGTATTTGACGAGGATGAAGAAGATGATTTTGACCATGATGAATTCCGCTAGATTCATCAAATGTTAGGTGCGAAAGCTCGTGCTTCATTCAAAATTATAATATGCTTATTATGAAAGTAACCTTCACACTTAGTTTTATTCACACACGCACACAAAATAATAATAATAATAATAATAATAATAATGAAAAAGGACAGGCATCTAAATTACTAATGCCACACATTTCTTTCTATTTTACAAAGTGCAGGTATTTCATTTGATAAAAAAAAACTCACCTTTGAAGGTGGTGTTAAGATGTATGCATTTGTAATTGTCTAAAAGATCATTGGGTTTTCGCGTAACAAAGTTAGTTGTTAGTAAAGCAATCACAGTTTTTTTTGTTGGTGCCTGTATGATATGTAAGTAGTAGTTTGTTAACAAATGAGATGTAATAGGATATGTTTTTCTTAATTGCAGGTTGTGTTGGCTTTCCGTAGCTTGCAGATGGTGAATACTTTTGGCAGTTTTTGTTGGCGTTAAGATTTTACCATACGTCTTTTGTATTTCCTTTCTGATTCCGAGCCTGTTATCTTAATTTTTACCACTGTAAACTTTATTTAGCATATTTTTTGTTAATTGAGTTTTAATATAATAAAACTCGTGAGATGGGTGGGTTATATGTCCCTTGCACGAATGCTTCCAATAGAAATAGGCGAGTTGACAGCTGTAATATACTTGGCTCCTCTTCAGTCCTATGACATAGTACTTTTACTCGTGAACAAAAACAGGAAATAGTTCAACCTGCTATGAAGACGAGTTAAATTTTTCGCACTATCAATTAGTAAGTTAACTTTTAACTTTATAAAGTGTCAATCAAATTATGTGATAAACTGTGCGACAGACAAATGAAGATAATTGATAATGTGACAAATATTTATGCAATGAACGACAAGTGAAGATAATTGATAAAGCGCAAAACAAATTATGAATAAATTATGTGACATTGATGATAAAGTGCAAAACATTTGTGCAATAAACTATGAACATACTGCTAATATAAATGATAAAGTGCGAAATATAATATGCGATAGATAAACGATGATAAATAAAGTGTGAAACTATTATGCGATAAACTATTTGAGTGGATTAGACACAACACATACGCTTAATCGAACTGCAGGACAACACGAACAAAACAAGGGAGGACGAGGTGTCATCAATCAAAACGACTACATGCTCTCAACACACAAAGGAGGACACATTGGAGAGGCTTTTGGCCTAGATTCGTGACCTACAGCCAAGGTCGAGGGAAAAAGAGGAACCAACGCAAGGGGTCACCCCTTTTCACAGGAGATCTTGGATGTCGACCTACCTCATGTGTTTAGGGAGTTCAACCTAGTGTATGATAGATAGGTCTACGCACCCATCAAGACACCTTAGGAGTTCTGAGAACATGGCTATGCTGCATAGGTACAATGACTTAGTTTGGTATACAACTTTCTTGGCTACGTTACGAGAAACTTCTCAGGATTAGTTTATCAACTTCCACCAGGATTTATTTATGATTTTTGAGGCATTTAGATCTAGTTTTATTAACTAGTTCACAAGCACAAAGGCACATTAGAAGACCTACTTGAATTTGATAGAAATACAACATAAAGAAAATGAGTGACTGAGGGACTATGTAGCTCGATACACGAGAGCCTGCCTACATGTGCCGTCAATATCTAAGGAGATCAAAGGGGGAGGTCTAACCCAGGGATTAAGACCAGAACCGTATAGGATTTGTTGACATCCGAGTTCGCCCCCCCAAGATCGAACCGGCCAAGGCGGCTTCGAGAGCCGAACCGAAGACCCGGTCAGATGAGAAGGTGCCGATCTGAACTTCAAAATTTATTGGCCCTGACACCCCCGCGGGCCCATCCTTTAGGCCGGCAGTTGCGATAATAAGGAGCCGGTGCCGGCCTGATGAGTGACGAGCTGGAAGGAAACTTGTCAGGATCGAGGGAGCAAAATGGAAACAGAAGCCGACCTGAAGTTTCGGAACAGATCTCCCCTGGTGAATGCCGATCTTGATAATAATATAATAATGCCACTTGAAGAGTAATCATTGGTGATTGGACGGGGCATTCTAGCCTGCTGACCTACCTCCCCTAGCCAAGACATAAAGCCTGCCAGCATTAAATGACCCCCATGTACACATTAAATGCCTGTCAGGCAATGATGAGGAAAACCTCAAATCGCATTAAATTCTGTCAGGGAGGCGCCGAACTGCTCTGCAAGAACACTGTACGACAAGACTGGTGAACAGTGCCAGAACAATGTCACATTTATGGCCACTATAAATAGCAGCTCACTTCATTTATTTTGGGTTGTTGAATCCCAACTGTCTGAACTCTCTCTACTTTCTCTCTCTAAAACCCGTGTAATAACTTTGTAAGAATTTGTAAGGATATTGCAAGTGCCGACCTCGTACGAGAGGCCGACCTCGCGATCGATCAATAAAATCGTAATTGAACCGTATTTCTTCGTCTTTTTCTCATTATCCTTTTATTATTCATCTTTTTAACCGTTGACCGGAAACGTCCGTCAACAGTTTGGCGCTAGAAGGAGGGCACCATAAGTTACTTGGTGTCAATTTTTCGATCTTGTGAAGCTCCACTTCGCATTCATCTTTTTTCCCATTCTTTCCACTTCCAAAAACAACTCAAAATGCCTTCATCCGGTCGTGATGACTCCACCCAGCAGTCCGGCTCCCAGCCTCGTGGCCGTAACGGCGGGGAGACCTCCCGTCGTGCCCAACAGGGACCCATAGTCCCGGTTCCACCAGTTCCTACCTTTGCTGCGACCCTGCAGCACCCTGATGTCCTCAAAGCCCTCGAGGGGGTCTTCGCCAAGGTCCTCGCCGGTCAAACAGCCGGGGCAAACACCGTGGTGCCCACGGAGAACCCCGGCAATACCCTGCTCCACACCCCTGAGAAGGAGACTGAGGGGCAAAGGAACCTGACGAAATCCAAAACCACGGCTCAGTCATCGAACCGCGAGGCTCTGAATCGCCGTGACAAAAGCACCAGACCGGCTCCTACCGAGCAGAGGGGGGAGAGCCAGCCGGAGCAAAGCCTCCAGGTCGTTCGCCGCTCTGTCCACCAGCGCTTGGGTGACAAGAGCCAAGCCAACCATGATCTCCGGGAGGTGATCAGGCGGGGCAAAGCCATCGGGCACGACACTGAGGAAGTCGCGGCCCTCAAACGCAGAATTGCCGAACTGGAAGGTCGCAGCCCACCGGGAGTGAGTTTTCACTCCCAGCCCATCCACAAACTCGCACGCGACCCACTCCCCGGGTCGTAGACCACGCCTCGCCTCTTTCCCCCGACATCCTACAAGAGGCCGTCCCGAAGCAGATCCAAGTACCCCAGCTCGGCCTCTATGATGGGAGTTCGGACCCTGACTCCCACATCGGTCTGTACACTTCATGGATAGACCTGCACGGCGCCTCTGACGCCCTGCGCTGCCGCATGTTCTCCTTGACGTTGGGGCCAAAGGCGCAGAGGTGGTATCATTCTCTTTACCCCCATTCCATCTCACACCTAGGCCCAGCTCAGGTCGGCGTTCCGGTCGCACTTTATCGGATCGCAGGTCAATCTCGCCCCCAAAGAGTCCATCTCTAATATCGTTCAGGGCGAGAACGAGAGCCTCAAGGACTACATTGCCCGGTTTAACGACCGGGTCCAAAATATGGAGCGGTGCCATCCTGACGCCCTGCTAATCACTGCTCAGGGTGGTCTGAGACCAAAAACGCTGTTTAGGTGGTCCCTATGCCAGAACAAGCCGACCACCTACCAGGAGTTCCTCGCCCGTGCCCAAGATTACATAATGGCGGAGGAATCCTCTTCCATTCCCACATTCGACGCCGCGCCGGCACCAACAAAAGCGAGGGCGAAGGAAGAAAAGTCGGGGAAGCCGAGCAAGTCGTTCGCTGAAATCCGGGCTCAGCGGAGGCAAAGAGCTGAGGAACTGAAAGAGAGTTACCAAGGTGTCTTCTCGGTGGGGGCCGCGGCGGTCTACGAGGAGATCAAGGCCAAGGGGTTGCTACCGGACCCCAAAGCAATGTTCACCGACAAGGACAAGGTGGATAAGACCCGCTACTGCTCCTACCATAAGGCGCACGGGCACAATACTGACCAGTGCCGAAATTTGATCTCGGCATTGCTCAAACTAATCGATGACCCCCAGCTCCGGAGGTTCACCCACTCTGGAGACAAGAGGAAGAAGGGGGGCCGCTTTGGGGAAGGCCAAGACAGCGACGAGGATGCCGACGTGAATCCTCGGAGGAAGAAGCCACAACGGGGCGGTCCCCACGAAATCATGACTTTCTGCTCCAACCATCAAGATGAGGCCGGCACCTCAAGGGGTAGGAAGAGGGATCGGTCCCCTCGAACTGGGGCCGACCCGGCCGACTACCCAACCTGGCGCGTCAACACAAGCCGGCGCGAGTCCCTCCTCTCCAGGAGGCAAACCAAGGCCTATGCCCGACAGGCCTATCATGCCGGGCAAAGGGTGATGCACGCCAACAACAGGCCGGCGCCAGAGCCGACCCCGAACACCATCACCTTCACCGATGAGGACGCCTTCCTGTTTGATCACCCCCACTGCGACGCCCTGGTGATCACGGCGCCGATCATGGCGATAAAAATTCATCGCATCATGGTCGACACCGGGGCCTACGCGAGCATTCTCTACTACGATACCTTCAAGAAGATGGGAATCGGCAGGAAGGAGGTGCAGCCCTGCCGCGAGTGGATTCAAGGTTTCAATCGGGCAAACCGTCGCTCCCTTCGGCCAGGTCACTCTGCCGATCCGATTCGGGGAGGAGGGGCAGCCTACGAAGACGATTCTGGGAACTTTCAAGATCGTAGACTGCCCAAGTGAGTATAACGCCATTTTGGGGAGGACAGTCCTCTACAAACTGAAGGCCGCCGTCTCCATATTTCACTATTCCCTCAAGTTCCCAACTTCCGATGGGGAGGGGACCCACCGAGGGGATCAGAGAGAGGCGCATCCCGCGCACTGAGATAAATACGGCAAACCTTCAGGCCGACGCCGAGGTGACAGACATCGGGTCGGCACGCGATGGTCTTAGGGGCAACCGCATGCTGGGAAACCAGACAGGTTCACACCCCTTGACTTCGTTGAGTACCGACCCCGCAAACACGGAACCCGATATGGGGGCAGATGGCCTATCCCCCGGTGCCGAGCCGACGGACCCCTGCCTGGGAACCGAAACTACCGACCAAACAGAAGGCGGCACCGAGGCCGACCTCGACAAGGACAGGGGGAGAAGGGCCGGCAAAAGGCCAATCATGGAGGAGGACGAGCTCGACCCCCGGACCCAATATGAGGAAAAACGGGGAACAAAGAGGGCCGAGCCTATGGACGAAGTTGAAGTCATCTTCATTGATGAAGAGACTTGCCAGAAACAACTCCGGATCGGGAGCAAGTTGCCGGGGCCTATGAAAGCCGAGCTGACCGAATTCCTCCAACAAAACGCAGATGTCTTTGCGTGGACCCACGAAGACATGGTCGGCATCGACCCCCGGGTCGCTTGTCACCAATTACGGGTCGACCCCACGGTCAAGCCGGTCGTGCAAAAGCGAAGGAAGCTCGGCCCGGATCGACAGCAAGCCTTAGAAGAAGAAGTGATCAAGCTCAAAGATAACGAATGCATTCGCGAAGTCTGGTACCCGACCTGGGTAGCCAACCCTGTACTCGTGAAGAAAAGCAGCGGAGCCTGGCGCTTGTGCATCGACTTCTCCGACTTGAACAAGGCA